TGTACAGTATTTCACAGTATAAATGTACACTTTATTTAACTAGTCATCTATTGATAAAAACTGAATTATTTCCAATTTGTTGCCATTGCAAAAAATGCTGGAAGGTACAACATTCTTACTATTTCTCTGTAGTACAAGCGGACTTCAAAAAGTTCATGAACACTTAGAGTACAGCCTTGTAACACCAAGGTCAAAGATTCGGTTCCCAGTATAGGCCAGCTGCCCCCCCGCCAAAATTTCTACTGCACATTGTACACAACTTTTGAATGTCAACTTTGTACCCCACAGATATATATAATAAACTATCTTAAAAAAAATCCAAAAAAAAATTCATGAACAAATAGAATTAAAAGGTAAAAATAAAAAATATAAACTTTATTTCTCAGCATAAGTTCCATCAAGTTCAAAACAGTTTTGTAAGCGATGATGCCAGCCTTAAGTTTATCCCTAAAGAACTGATGGTCTTGGCAATTTAACTATGTTAATGCAGTTTTTTTTACATTATTAACTAAAGAAAATGTGTGCCCTTTAAAGATGTTTTAAGGTTAGGAAACAAAAAGAAGTTAGAAGAAATCAAATCAGAACTGTAAGCTGGATGCCTAATGATTTCCCATTGAAACTCTCACAAAATTGACCTTGCCTGATGAAGGAATGAACTGGAACATTGTCATGGTGGAGAAGGACTCTCTGCTAAAGTTTTCCCAGGTGTTTTTTTGCTAAAGCTTTGACTAACCTTCTCAGAACACTCTCAGAAGAAGCATACATTATCGTTCTTTGGCCTTCCAGAATGTCAACTAGGAAAATGCCTTGAAATATCCCCAAAAACTGTTGCCATGACCTTTGCAACAGGTCCACTACCACCTCTCGGTAGCCATGGCTTTGGTTATGCTTGGTCTTCAAGATCATACTGGTAAACCCATGTTTTATCTCCTTTTACAAGCCTTTGAAGGAATGTTTCAGGATCTTGATCCCACCTGTTTAAGATTTTCATTGAAAGCTCTGCTCTGGTCTGCAGCAGATCTGGGCACAATAGTTTTGGCACCTATAGAGTGGAAAGTTATATTGACTATAATTTTTCAGTCAGAATTGTGTAGGCAGAACCAATTAAGATGTCCACGGTGTTGGCTATTGTTTCTGCTGTTAATCGATGGTCCTCTTCAATTAGGGCACACACGAGATTAATTCTTCCTCGCAAATTGATGTGGATGGTCTGCCGCTACGGGATTCATCTTCAACATTGTCTTGTTCCTTCTTAAAACAAGTTATCCATTTGTGAACTGCTGATTTCTTTGAAGCATTGTCCCCATAAAGTTTTCATAAACCGTCATTGATTTCACCATGCTTCCACCCAAGCTTCACCATAAATTTAATGTTTGTTCTTGCTTCAATTTTAGCAGAACTCATGTTACTCTGATAGGGGCTCTTTTCAAACTGATGCCTTATCCTTCTTAGTGCCTCAAAATAGATCTTCTTCAGACATGTTATAATAAATTACTATGAGTTTATTTTGGTGCAAAAAAATTGAAATCCACACATAGTATTTTCATAATACACATTTTCCATGAACTTTTTGAAGACCACTCATAGATGCTTCAAAATAAAATTTCTGGATTATGGAGCAGGCATACATTCAGCTTTGAAAGATACAATGATGTCCTCCAAAGCATCCTACTAATGTATACTCGGACCTGTAACAAAAGAGTTCCTGTTTTCCCATACCCTCACTTATTCGTGATATTATCAAATTTTTATTTTGCCAATGTAATGAGGGGAAGAGATATCTCATATTTTATTTATCTATTTATTTTGGCAGCTGGTCAGTACAGGGATCTGAACCCTTGCCCTTGGTGTTCTCAGCACCACTCTCTCCCAAGTGAGCTAACTGGCTAGCCCTCTCATATTTTAAATTTTCATTTATCTGACTGCACTGTGATTAAACATATTTTCATACTTATATTTCATATTCAAATGAAGCATACTTTTGTATGTTTATTGACCATTGCATTTCCTCTTCAGGGAACTGCCTGTTTGTGTCCTTTGACTAATTTTGTAGTGGATTGCTTGTCTTATTAACTGGGAGGAGTTATTTCCATTTATGAACATTAATCCTCTATTTTCTCCCAGATAGTTGTGATAGCCTTTATTGTCCAAAAATTTTATTTTGATCAAAGTCAAATTTGTTGTTTTCTTCTTTACGATTTTGCATTTTTTGTCTTAAGAGGCCCTTCTAGTCTGCAATATGATAAACATGTTTTCTCCATTTCCCTCTATTTATTGCTTTATTTTATTTTTCATAATTAATTCTTTCATTTATCTTGTGTTAAAATTTTATTAATAACACAAGTTAGTATCTAACTTTGTTTTTGCCCAGTTGGTAGCTGATTTCTCCAGTACCATTTATCAAATGATCAATCTTTCCCTGACACACTTTAAATGTCTCCTATATCATAAATTAAGTTCTCATATATACATGAGTCTGTTTGTGAACTATACATTCTATTCTAATAATTTATTTGTCCATTGCAGTGCCAATACCACACTATTTTCATTATCATAGATTTATAATGTGGTTTAATATCTGGTAGGGCAAGTCTACCCATCTTTGTTCTCCTACAAAATTGTCTTGACTATGCTTGTGCATTTTCTTTTCCTTGTGAATTTTAAAATCAGTTTTGCCAAATTCTAATTGCTTCTAATTTATTCAATCACAGAACTTATTTTTGAAAGATCAATGTTCAAAAAAACACACTTCCGTGATAGGTTGGCTTAGGTTGTATCTGGCCCAAAGATTTATTTTGTTTGGTCAAAACAAATATATAAATATAATATTGACCCATTCATGTTTTTTAAAATGTTTGACACCCATCTAAGAGTCAAAAGTAAATAGTGAATGTGCAACAGAGTGTGTGTATGCATGTGGG